CCCAGCTATCTCTACATCCTCTTATTAAGCATTTTGCTAGTGATGGGGTGGACTCTGAAGAGCTTTCTGAAGATCAGTGTCAAAATGACAGGTCCATGGAATAGCAGTTGAAATGGTAATCTCAGACATGGGATCTTGGGGTGGCATGCTTCAAAAACAACTGGTTATTTTCATTGTGTATCATGAAGACCAAAGTTCTGTGGATGTTTCTCTTTTGTCTCCTAAGACCTGGTAATCACAGTGATGGCTGTCTGAGTATAGTAAAATAACAATCAAGTAGATAGTATTGTATTGTATTGTGTTTCTGAGCTTTAAAGGCCCTTAAGTTCAGAAAACAAAGACCGACATAAGCTTCCAAAATTTAAGTGAGTCTGAAATGTGTGCTGTTTTTTTTTGTGTGTGATACACATACATACGAAATTATTATATGTCATATTAAGGTTTATTTAAAAACACATGGTTACATTATAAAGCATAACATAACAGTCAAAGCAGCAGTAGTTTTTATTACAAAGTCTAAAAAAAAAGAGTCCAACTTTATATGTAAAAAGGAACACCCATTATCATTAAAAACATCAAAATTATCTACTGAACAAAATGTCTTTACATTTACACAAGTACTTACAACAGGGTACTTGTCCGGTTTTATAGACATAGAAGTTCTGGATTGTTATTTAAGCCTCCATGCACAACTGCTATTAAATATGATTACAGAATAAAGCAATAAACAATTTGGCATTGCTAGTGGACATGAAAAATGAGGGTCTCATCAATGAGGTCTGGGTACAGAAGGCCACCCTGCTGGCAGTACAAGACTTTTTACCAACAGGGTCTGGGCCATGCTATTTCTCATCTTGAGGATGTGTACCTGCAGGAAATACAGTAGGGTCAGGCTTTACCATGCCAGTTCCAAGACATGTTCCAACACACAGCCAGCCCCTCCAGCAGTCACAGGTATTCCTTGGTCCTTATTCACCTTAACATACTGATGAGCTATTTGGAACTGAAGTTAAAGGTTCCAGATGAGCTTCTATTCATTAGACGTTCTCACTATACTTCACTGTACTAAACAGTGCCAGAGAGTAAGAACAGACACCACATACAGCAGGGTGCCCAGATGTGGCATCACACTAGGGTCCTAGCTGGAATCTCTAGGGCTTTCCATGGTCAGAAAGGCTGCTTAGAGTCCAGAGATTGCAGCAGTGGCTTCGACTGTGGGTAAGAACAGGCAAGTACAGAACTCCTGGCCAAGTAATGTTAAAATCAAGTTATGCCGTAACAGAATACATTTGAAACCGATAAGACCAAAACTGTGTAAATACAAACAGTCATGAATACTACAGAAGCTAACGCCTAGATCAACAATACAACAGTAGTTTCGACCTCTCAAAATGCAGAAAGCTATTTTAAATTCTTTAAATGTAAGTATATGAGGAAAAAAAAAAAACTTCAGCTAAGCAATAGGTCTAGAAATCTTGTCTTCACATCTAGAGCTAAGATGACCTTTGCTGGCATTATTTACTACATAAATTTCAGTATTTTTCCTTGACATATAAAAATAGAAAATGTACAGAGAAGGCACTTACTTTTTTGGCACTAGCAAAAAGAACAGTTATTGTCACTCATGTCATCAACCCCTATACATGTGAATCATCCATGAATAACACTCTAAACCCAATCTTTTAAAGTGCTGTTGAAATTGTAGTTTGGGGATTATTACTTGAAATGTACCTGGAGAAATCCCTAGCTGTGTTACAAAGAAGCAAGAGCTGGGATTTTAGTGCAACTTCCTCATCTGGGTGGCAAATTTGGGATACACTCCAATTTTTTATTTTACACAGCCACCACACGAGCGCATGCACGTGCCCGTGCATGTGCGCACGTGCGCGCACACACCCCCCCACACACACACCACTCCTGATATATATGAAGGGAGAAGATAAGGTGCAATTCCTTCTGAATCCTTAGCCCTGTAGGGCAATTATTTTCCTTCACCTTTCACCTGTACTAAATGTTCAGACAAACTTAGAAAAGTATTCAGTAACAATTCTGAAGCACAGTGTTTTACTAGAAAATATTTTAAGTAATTACCTGCAAACTTTCAGGGCTTGGAAAAAATTGGCAAAAATAAAAACTTCATAAAAATAAAATTATCTTATCTTTTATTCTTTAGGAAGACAATTCAGAAGCTGGTCTTTTTGAATCAGTTACTGTTAGTACTACTAAATACTAAAGTTAACACACAGTAGTCTCAATGTTGACATTACATATTAATGTATAGATAATATTTTGCTTAGTTTTCTTGTCATTCTTGTTGTCAAGGAAAAGAGATTAAGATGTTTTAGTATGTCTCAAAGTTTCTAGATAAGTTTTTCTCAGGAGTTTTTAACTTGAGCTTTCATAACCACCCTTTTAAATATGTGGTTGGTGTGATCTTTATGTTATGTTAATTCCCAGATCATTCTTCTTTGTTAAGAGTATGAAGTTAAGGTGCTGTGATGAGACAATCTCACTGAAAATAGCAACAACACAGTTCTTAAAGAAAAAATAAAGCACTACAAACTACTTATGCTTGCCATGATAAATAAAAGGTGTCCACATTTGATATTCTGGATCATTTGCTCACTAGTCAAATTTGTATAAAATATTTTGGTGTTCCTACAAAACAAAATAGGACGTTTTTTCAAGGTGTTATGAACTCAAAGTTCCAGAGGACAGAGGTTGGCAAAGATCTAGTGGTACTGGCGCTGGCTGGCAGGCACACACAGGGACAGGTATGTTAGAAATAGTGCTACAGAGACAAATAAACAAGAACATCCCAAGGTCCCGAACCCTACTCCATTCAGATTCCAAAGCACCTGTCATAATATACTACAGTTTAGTGATTTCATATTAGAAACATGATAAATATGTCTTAAAGAATCTGTCTATAGAAAACATACATATAAAATTGTATCTTTAAAATAGCTTAAACTCTAAAATATCTATCAATATAAAACATTAATCTCTCTCCACATCAATTGTGTTTTTATCTATGTAACAATATCACATCCAAAACTCATCATAAACCCAACTTAACTTATGCACGGCTAACTGACTGCCCCCCCCCAAATATACATTACACACACACACACACACACACACACACACACACACACACACACGCACGCCAATGTGTTTATACACATATGACATGCTTGTCCATTTGGGTCTTGACAGAAAAAATAGCATGGTCTCTGACAAAACATGTCCACAGACATCGGGTTTCCATATGTTTTGATGTGACATTCTGCTCCTAACTGAACACAGTGGCCATAATACTTCTATAGTTGCCTATCTTGGTTCAAGCAAATCTGATTTTGTTACAGTAAGAAATTCTTACTCTTTTCCCCTTTCCTATCAAATCCATGACCTCTTCTTTATTATTTTTACATGCATACATGTACGTATGTGTGTGTGTGTGTGTGTGTGTGTGTGTGTGTGTACATAACCTGCCGAGTCATTTAGTATTGCTTGTATATACAAGTGTTTATTTAATGCTGAACACTTGGGATTACATAACCGATCAAGGGGCTCAACCCTGATTCTCCCTCTCTGGGCAACCATTAATGATAGCAAGATTCCTGATCATGCTTAGTCCTTCCCAAACTATTTTAGCGTTTGCTTCTCCAACTTTTCTCCTGTAGTAAAGCAAGCAGTTGGAAAGAGTGTCTGGGCTGCAGATTTTATTGGGTGCACCCTAGAAGCTTCCGAATGACAGCACTAAATCAGGGAGGCATCACTAACAGCTGGGGAACCCAGAACCTTTGTCTGCTCATCTGATAGTTAATTACAGTAAATGCTGCTTCCCCACAAAGGGTTGCAACTTGCTTTTAAACAGCATCAGTAAAATAAATGATCTCTTGAAAGAATTATGAGAAAGTAGCTGTTTTGCTTGTCTTTAAATTATGCAGAGTTCCTGGTTACAAATGGTCTTCTGGGAGTGCCATGTCTGTGTTAAGTGTCTAGCCTCTAGATGTATTTAATAAACCATTTAAGTACTTTTTACAAAATTAACTCATGAGGAATAAGAACGATTGGAAATTTATAATCTATTCTCATAGAATCCTATAAAGTAAAATGCAGCAATCAGAGAATCTTACATATAAAAATGTATTTAATCACATACAAAGATCACTGTGTTTTTAATTCAATTTGGTTATTTAACTCAATGTTTTAAATATTGTGTTCTGGAAGTAGTCGATGAGTTATTGTATAATATCAACGTTTGTGTTAATAGGTTTAATGTGGTCATTTAAAGGCAAATGAAATAAAAAGTGATAAATGATGGGATAGAGAGGGGGCAGGAATCTCTAAACATTTCTATAAGAAACATCAGAGGTATAGTAAGTCTAAAGTCTGTAATTTGGGCTCAAATGCCCTGTGCGACTGGATCAGTGATATTTTCCTATACCTCTTCATCTTTTCTTTTTTTGCACATTGTAAAGATGGAATTTGTTATCATGTCCATTTCTATCTAGATCAGAGAAAATATCAGAAGTAAAAGATCAAGTTATGTGATTGATGATGTGACAGACACTGAGCTATGATTAGGTATTAAATAATATAAAACAATCTGAGCCATTTTACCAAATGTGTGACATGGGGGCTTATAATGTCTTCACTCACTTTTAAAAACAGAAAGCCTGTCTGAACCTCTGTCTATGTAGCTCTGGCCCTCGAGCTGTGGGAGGGGACCATATTCATTCTTTGGCTGAAAGGGTCGTCCCAAGTAGGTCCTAATGCTCCTCCTGAGTCCTTGATGGGGTTGAGGTTGGGAAAGCATATCACTTACAGCAGGTGGAAGTGTTATATTTAAAGAACAAGGCTCTTAAAAACAGGAGTGGCCACCTGGTGTCACATACTCTTTCTCCATCCTGTCATACAGAAGAAACAAACACTCCCCCCCTGGCTAAAGTTTCAGTAAACTGTTTTAGCAAGTAGGAGAAGAAAATGTGTGATAACTCTACCAGGGCATTGTAATGTACAGCAAAGGCTCATTCCTTATTTCCTGTCAACCCTGACCACTGTTAAACATCATGACAGGTGGCTGCATTTTCAGAAAGTCCAAATTGACAGCCATAGACCTAATAAGGAGAAAATCATCACTATTTCCTTAACCACCTAGGCATATACAGAATACTCTATACTAATTAGTATGTGCAGTATATGCCACCCATTACAATGCTGGAATAATGTCACATAGTAATAAAAACCAACAACATGTAACACTCACATTCCCACACATACATGTATACACACAGGCACATTACTTTGGGGATCCTCGGTGCTGAGGAGTGCGCTCAGGCAGTTTTCCCAAACACATAATTCACCATCAGAAGAGAAGTTATATGGAGGAGGAATTGTAAGTTAGGTGAACCATGTGTGCAGCAAACCCATGACATTCCAGCATGATGGTGACATCCTGCCACAGTTGACACCTTGTAAGCCATGTGCGGTAAGACCGCTGGCTGGCATCAGCATTCACTTGTCTTTTCATGGAATATGAAAGGTAAACTGAGGCTTCTTTGGTGATGGTCATTTGCTTGCATGGCAGATTTCTCTTCTGTTGCAGAATTGATGTTGTCTGCATAGACATCTTCATCATCATCTTCATCCCTGGGGTTGCCCTCCAAACTGTGTCTAATGCCATAAGCGAAGTAGATCAGAAAGCCTTTGGGGAGAGAATGCATATTGGTGTTTTAGGAAATGTTTTAATGTGGACAACTCAATATAGTAAGTCTCCCCCTCTCTGTACAACCTTGCAAAAAGAGAATGTGTGCATATATTATATATAAATAAATGTGCTTTTGCTATCCATGTGGATATGGCTTCAGGGCAGACCACTCTGCATTGGGCAACCAAAAAGGGTGCTCATCCCTGGGAGATGCTAACTCTCCTTCCGTTGCAGTTGTTAGCTGTTGCCTGTGATTCTAGAGGCTATCAACTTAAGAGTATGTGTGTGTGTGAGGGGTGAATGGGAGGGGTAAAAGGGAGGTACCTGGGTGGAAGGGAGGAAGGAAAGTAATATAATTATATTTCAATTTAAAAAATAGTTAAAGGAGGCTGGAGAGAAGGCTCAGAGGTTAAGAGCATTCATTGGCTACTTTTCCAGAGGTCCTGAGTTGAATTCCCAGCAACCACATGGTAGCTCACAACCATCTGTAATGAGATCTGGTGCCCTCTTGTGGCCTGCAGAGATACATGCAGACAGAACACTGTATACACAATAAATAAATAAATAAAATCTAAAATATAGCTAAATAAAAAACAAATAAAAATATGCTTAAATAAAAACGTAAATCTTCAACATGAAATCAAATGTGAAAATCAGATGTTGCATAGATCCCCTATCTAGATAGAAAACACCTCTTCTTTGCAATACACCAATCTTATAGAACATATTTTTCTCTCAACGAGTATTTTCAGACAGCAGCTATGTGGAAATTTCCTATTTATGTTCTCAAAACTCAACATAATAACTTTAAGCAGAATGATGGGCGAGGCTCACGTGACATATGTAGCCCTAGCAGTGGTTATGGTTATCAGAGTCATGGTCGTGTAGTCTGGAAAGCGAGCCCTGTGTTCACAATGGACATGGATGCCCTTCTACCTGTTACTATCAAATGGGAGGCTTAAGCCCTGAGCACAAAATGACTGTCAATGACTGTCAATAGCCACAATAGACTGTGGGGAGAAGGAGGCAATGTTTTTTAAGAGTCCTTAGAATACATTTACCTATAAATGCTTTGTCCTAGTTTAGAAAGCTGGGTAAGGGTTTGGCATTGTTATGACAACTATTTGAGGGGCTACACTTTTCTCATTCATAATCTAGAGAAGACAGAATCATCTGTGTGAACTCCAAGGTTACTTGGAGATTTGAATGAAAAATGGCATCTGAAGGGCTGGAGATGTGGCTCAGTGACAGAGGCCTGTGATAGCATGTCTGAGTCCTCGGTTGTGTCCTCAGCACAAAAGAAAAGAAAACAAAAGGAAAGAAAAACCAAAGGAAAGGCATTAGGAAATACTGGGAAAATAAACATGGAGATGAAGTTGGAATGGGAAGAAATGAACAGAGCCTTCAGTTTTAGGAAGGGAGACAGCCCGTTCTTGTAACCACTGCCCACAGAGCAAAGTGACTCAAGCTCCAGGTGTGAAAGGCATCACAAGACCTACCAAGCACCATCCAGATGCTGAATCTGACCCAAGTGTCCGCACTTAACTGGACCATCAAGTAAATGTTGACCAGGATGCTGAAGGCTGGCAGGAAGGGTAAGAATGGGACCTATGGGGAAAAAACATCCTTTGATAATAGTGTTACTGTAAAAACATATTTTCCAAGTAAGTTCAAGGGAGGTCGATACCTGACATGTAATCATATCACTGAGCTTATAGTCTCAAAAAGGGGGTGGGGTGGGGAAGGCCCCGAACAAATGCTATCCCCATAGAAACTAGTGAAAAGAAAATCTTTCTCATTACTTGCTGAAGCTGAAACACAGCCACACCTGCAGATTATCATCAAGATACCACAGGGTTTAGATTAGGCATCAGTGTAGCTTAGAGGTTACTGGTCTCATTTCTGGAACTCTGGATACATGTAGCATCCTGGGGGGGCCTTTCCAGGAAGCTCTGTCCACATCCAGGCCTACTGCTAGTTCCAGTGGGGGCAGGATAATTTAACTTGCAGATGAAGGCAGCTGGTGGGAATACATCCTCAAAAGAGGGCTTCAAATTTCTGAAAATAAAACCCTCAAATTATCTTCTTTCCTCCATCCTTTTCATCTTCATTTAACTTTTAATTTTTAGTGCTGGGGACTAAACCCAGAATCTCATGAATTATTTTTCTGATATTATAGACTGTTAAGCACAAAATTTGTTCACTATACACATGTATACTCAAATTTCTGAGAAGGGGAGTGAGACAACTCACGTACTGTGACTAAAAGGAATTCCGCAGGGAATTTTGACAGGCTTGTTGTTCATTGCTCGCTTTTGTTTAGAAAAATTAAACAAACAGACAACATACAGAGGGAGTATATATATATAACAATTAGGATTTCTAATTATTATTTCACATACCATGAAGGCTACTTTTTGCTGATTCTGTGGCTGTCTCCAAATGGTCAGAATGACCGCAGTGCAGAGGACAAAAAACAGGGCGAGAAGAGCCAGGCTCCAGGCTTCCAGTCTGGCAATGGCCTGGACTCCATACGTGGTTAGGATGCTCATGCCCAAGATGAGAAAGGCTGTGGTGGTCAGTACACAAGGAAGAGTCAACACACATCCTGCCCTCAAGTTTCTCAATTCTAGTGGCCTATCATGGCACAGTATCAAGTTCTTTACCATCTGCTTTGTCACACAGAACCCTCACTTCTTTTTCTGTTGTGAAAAAAACTGTCCATGACACCCATCTAAGAATCATGTGCATGTTCTCATTTCTGTCTTTTCAGAGGCCAACCTCCCCATGTGTCACTAACATCATGCATTGTCCCTCATGTGACCAGGGCTCCTCCTTTCCTAGTCTCAGTCTGTATGGATAGGATGTTTCTGATGGTGTGTGGCTTCCATTTTTTTGTCAAATGAAATGTGGCAGCTTTGCTTATTTTAAGCAAAGACTATTTGTTAAAGCAAACAAACAATATCACATGATCTGAATCTCTCTTCCACATTCCAGGAAATGATGTCAGGCTTCTTCTGATCATCAAGTATGCAATGAAAGCCCTTATCGCTCTCAGGGAAACCTGTTCTTCCCTTGTTTGTCATGATCTTCCTATACAATCCTCAAGAGCAAGGACAGTCTGTGTCACTACCCCAAGTGCCCAGGCCAGTGCCTGGCACACAGATAATGCCCAGTAGATATCACCAAACATATAGAAGATCAGGTAGCCAGATGCACAAACAAATCTTCCCTATATTGCTGCCCAATACCATTGGGTTCCAGTTCTGCTACATGACTTGATTCTTTAACACAGGGAGCGCCTTCTGCTAATGGACTGTGTCAGTTTATAATTCTGCCACTCTTACAGTAGGAATTCCTTGCTGTTGTGTGCATGTATGCAACTGTGGGAGCATGTGTGTCATAGCACACATGAGGAGGACAAAAGATGGCCTTGGATGTTGGTTGCCACTTGCCACCTTGTTTGAGGTATGGTCTGTTATTTGTCTCTGTGAACAGGAAGCTACTGGGGAATTCTCTTTCTAACTCCCACGTTGCCATTTCACACTGGTACTACAGGCATGTGTACTCTGCTTCACAGGGGTTTTGGAAATCTTAACTCAGAGACTCAGATTTATGCAGCATGTTCTTTACCCATAGAGCCATTTCTCCAGCTCATAAATCTTCCTACACAATATAACACAACCTCAACTACCAGTACCTCTCTAGGTCAAACTTCATGTCTCAAACTGGCTGCTAACACATCCTGGGCAATGTAAGGCCTTGTCCTTTGCTTTCCACATACACTGGTTTCACACACCCATACTTGTTGGACTTTTCAACATTGGCAGTGAAGACTTACCCAGGAATCCCACCAGAAAGCTCACGAGGGAAGCTGACTGTCGTGTGGGCAGAGCAGAGGGGTTGAAGAGGGTCTGGAGGTTGAAGCCCTGTCCTTGTAGCATGGTGACCTGGGACTCACTTTTCGAAGTCGCACTGGGACATGATTCCAGAATTTCCTTCTCAGGGGTATATTTGGGCTGCTCATAACACAAGCCAGGTTGGTACCTATCCCCAAATAAATACCAGTGTCTTTACTCTCATAGGCCCGAATGAAATTGTCACCATAAACTCCTAGGTGAGATGCTTTACAAAGTCATGGTGGTGTGTGCAGTCAGGTGACACATCTCATGTCTGCAACTCAGAGTGTGCTCAGCCAGGCTACAAACCTCTTCCATCAAGTCTGAATAGCAACTCTGAATTCCCTCTCATTGCTCTTTAGTCAGGAAGTTGTACAGTAGATGCCAAAAAGTTAGAATTAAGGTGACACAATGTTGGCAGCAGGGTAGTTTCTGAAGCCTCCAGTGCCCAATGGAATCATGATTAACGGATACAGAAACAGCCACCAGCTATGGAGGACAGGGTCTCTGGCTTGGGATGACTCAAAGGCCACCACCAGAGCCTGTTCCTCTGCTCATGTGTTCTGATTCATCTAGCTCCACGCAGAGATGCTCATGTAGCTACTTGGCCACCTAACTACTCCACAGACATCATTTTTCCTCTTTTATTTGCCCTGTTCCTGCAGTGCTCATCAGCATAGCCTGCTTCACCTCCTAGTATCTGCAGCCCTTGTTTATTTCAGAACCGCCCTCCCATGTAAAGAAATGTATTCACTAAGGAAAATGCTCTAAGGAAGTAACAATGACTGATAGCAACATTAAGTTAATCATCATTAGCATTTTGGTCTAAGTTCATCCTGTCATGTATGCATACATAAGCATTTATTATTTCTTGATGTAAATTTATAATGTGATTTAAACAAATTCAAATGCTATGGCTTTGTCTCTTCAAAATGGGAAGTTATCTATATACCAAAATATCAGTTATTACTATAGAAGCCACTGAATACATGTGCCTTCATGTATGTCACTATTCTCCTGCTGTTATTCATATTCATGTTTTCTTCATACTTGTCAATCTACCTTTTCTGGGACTATGATTTACATCCATTTGTTGGTGTCTCTTTGATAAAAGGTCTTTAGGAAAAAACCTTAGCATTGAATTATTAATGCTAAAAGTACTAATAAGTACATACATATTTGGGAGATATACATTTATTGACTTGAAAAAAATATTCAGGCTATGTTGCTAATATAACGAAGGCAGTATCGTGTAGTAGTCAAGAATAGGGCTCTATTTGTCAGTCTGCTAGTATTTATAACTTCCAAAATACAACATGTTTATGTACCTCCACACATTTAAATAAACTGCCTTGGAGACTAGGACAAACTATCAGTAAGGGTCAAACTCTACTTGATTTTTTTTTTTTTTTTTTTTTTTTTTTTTTTTTTGCTAAAAGCCATGTCTGCTTCCTATACTCCATCTTACTTAATGGCCATGGCCTCCCATTTTGTCAAAACTGCTGGCTCTTTGCAGTCCTACTGTCTCTACTCCCTATATCCCACCTGGAACATGCCCTTCAGAACCAACAGACACTCACCTGAGGATGAGCACACAGGCTGCGACCAGAGAGTAGGCCATAAGAGTGCCGATGGACATCATGTCCACAAGAGCCTTCAGGTCAAAAAGGAAAGCCATGACAGCTGTTGGGAAACAGATAAGAAAGGTCAATCAAAGGCCTCTGAGGACATTTCTTGTAGCTGTTCACTCAGTCAGGAACAACTGACTGATGGTTTTCTGTTTTGGTACCAATGATAGATCAATATCACAACATCATAAGATGGTCTCTGGGCCATATAAACTGCTAACACTAAGACTTCAAAGTACCCAGCTCTTTAGGAGGTGCTAAATGCATCTGGTATGATTATTTAAAACAAACTTGGCTTGACCAAGTGTAAAAATATATGGCAGAATACTGTCTTCTGAGGTGTTGGAAGGTAAACAAACATTTGCTAGGAAATGCCAGTTTTCTCATTACAAGTTACATAATCACTTACAGTTCCATCTGCATCATGTCATGTGCAACTCAAAACATTTTAAGTTGTCTTCACAAAAATAATACTTATTTTTCAATGAAATGACATTTTGCATGTAAACACTAATCAAACTAAAGTCACATGCTCTGGAAGACAGATTAGATGTGAAAAATCAACTTATGATCCTGTACACAAGATCTGAACGATGTTAAAAAGTAAAAATGCCTTATATTAGCTGAACTTACTACATATACTCCCTATCTCAGTAAATAGATAACACCGCGTTCAATTTATATGGTGTCCTAGACCTCTTTGCACAGTTTATAATCTATGAACTCACTTTATCTTCAGACAATGATCCTAGGAGGCAGAGGAAATTACTTTCGTTTTAGTTACATAAAATGACATTATTTCACTATGTATTTATTTACCAAATCCAGCAACTTCCCAAGGCCTTCCTTGATAGGATTCTTCCTTTTTATAGACAGGTTGACATAAGGTTACAATGGGTAGATTCAGACAGAGCTTTTCCTGTCCTTACAACCTCTCAGTATTTCATCTGCTCTCTGAATATGCACCACATGCCTCACTCTGCAAACACTTTATTACTAGTATAACTATATAATGGATTACTGAGCTTTTAGCATGCTTTTAATGACCACAGATAGCCAAATGCTGATTATTCATATACACTCTCTAATCTAAATTTTAGAAGATGCAAATTTGGGTGTGAGAATGTAAAATATATGATATTTTAGAAAGCATTCCACCATTAACTGTCCTATTATACTGTTAAATTCCATTCTCCCTAAATGAAGGAAAAGCTAAATTATCTTTAAAACTCTACATTCCAAGTATAATTATTAACAGGAATGATTTTTACTTTGTGGAGACGTTTTTATGACATGGTTCATCTTTAACATTACAATGAACATTGGTTCTCTATCTGCCTAATGCTTGATCCTTAGTACAGTTTCTCATGTTATGGTGAGCCTTCAACCATAAAATTGTTTCGTTGCTCCTTCATAATTGTAATTTTACTACTGTGATATGCAGGATATCTGATATGTGACCCCAAAGGGGTTGCAACCCACAGGTTGATAACCACTGACCTGAAAGAATCTTCATTTTATTGGGGCAGAAATTTAAGCCTGAGGAAGATAAGTGATTCGACCTTCTCACATATGTCTCAAGTGTCATATTTAGAAGATCTGCTAGATGAAAACTACTTAGACAATGCTTCCTGATCTGAAATAAAAACTGGCTGGGTATGTAATAATACATTCTTTGTTTTGTTTTGTTTTGCTTTTTGAGATAGGGTTTCTCTGTATTATTTTGGAGCCTGCCCTGGAACTTGCTCTGTAGACCAGGCTGGCCTCGAACTCACAGAGATCCACCTGCCTCTGCCTCCCGAGTGCTGGGACTTAAGGTGTGTGCCACCACTGCCCGGCATAATAACACATTCTTGATCCCAACTTCCTAGTGCATTAGAGTCTCAACAAAGTCAGAGATTTTATTTGAACATCAGTTCCTGAGACAGTTCAGTTCACTTAGCTATAAAGTTCACTACAGTCTTTTTTCTTCTTTCTGTGTCAAGCCCTTAAGACCATTTTCTCTGTCCATACCATCCCTGGAAATTTCCACAGGCTCTAAGAATCTGGTCAGAGGAAGTTAGCATGGACATCATAGTATATCAAAATGTAGGCAATCTGGATTCTAGGAGCAAAGCCTACATGTCCAAACTATTGAAGGACAACTAGGTTCCTACGGGGTGGGGGTGGGGGGCTGGGCAGGTGCAAGTCTAACCCTGCTGGGCAATGCTCTCCATCCTGGGCAGTGATGACAGTAACCAACTTCAGATTATCCTTGGCATTTTTCTTATATTATCCTAGGAATTGGTGGAGTTTAACTTTTCAAAAGTCCTACAATCATTTAAAAATTAGTACTCCCAATATTAAGCCATGATTCAATTTAAAAATTTTTCTGTGACAGAATTATAACTTTATGTGCTTATTCATCAGTTAGAAGAGTGATACCTAATACAGAGTGGAGAGTCATTCACAACTCTTTGCACATTGGTTAGATGCCTGAATGGTTAAAGTAGTAAAAACAGAGTCCGCGGTGATTAGCTATGAATGGATTTCAGGGATTCACCATCACCATAATTGTCAGATGTTAATCCCAATACGCACACATTAATTTACCCAGGAATTTTCTCTTAACTTACATGCACAGCATGCAGACCCTTTTTAAGTCCATGCATCCGCACAGCACGTTTTAGTCCAGTGACGGAGAAACCTATGTTTGTAAGGCTTACCAGAAATGACCCCCGCGGTCAACGTGGCAGCAATGGGTGACTGCCTCTTACTCACTCGCGCAAGAAATCTAAACAGTAAGCCATCCCGGGCCATGGCAAACAGAATGCGGGGTAAGGGGAACATAGAACCCAGAAGACTAGAACAGAAAAATTCATAATCCAACGTGAGTTGAGTATTATTCTGCAAGGGTACATATAGGTACACAAAGAAATCAAAATAGGAAAGTCACACAGTTATCGAACTTTTTGTTAATCAAAACTGAAAACCACCTAACGATCCACATCCTCCAGAGTTCTTGATGAAAACGATCCCCCTTGTCTTAGTAAAAGTCAACGCTCTCACCTGCCACAGCACCCGATGACAAAGTAGCAATTATTGGTGTCTTCGTTTTGGAATTGATTTGAGCTAGACATTTGAAAAGCAACCCATCCTCCGCCATAGCATAGATTACACGAGGCATTGGGAAAATGGATCCAAGAAGACTGAGTAAAAAGCAAAGACATGCAGTATGGCAAACATAGTCATGCATGATCACACCCAGAATAAAAACACATGATTGTATAACACTCAGCATGGCAGCTGGGATCAAGGACTCACATAGTTTTACATAGTGCATTATGATTGGGCATTTATTTAAACACACCAGCCAATAATGGCCATGGTGTTACTCATTACTCTTGCAAATATTTGCCCAACCAAATTGTAACACTAAAAATAATATTGCAAGTTCATTTGTTTATATCCATGATTGTTATGGAATTAAAACTGAATTAGGCATTGCAAAATAAAATTAAATATAAAACACTAGGATGTTTTAGTGTTAATAATTCAGAAAACAAAATTCCCAAATTAATGGGTAATTAAAAAGATTAATTTATGTCACAGTACATCACCCATTTATACAGATTATGTATTTTCATATTACCATGATTTTACATGCTATAGCTTGATCTTTGATACAAGTAATAGTTCCAAGCATCAAAATTATAAAGGTAAAGAATGGCTTAAAATAATACTATAGATTTAGTATACAGAAGGAGCTACAATTAAATGTTAGTAACAGTGAGGTTTACTATACAATTATTGCTTAACATATATTGAATTATTTATGTTTATTGCTCTTGTCGTTCCATATATGATTCAGTTGTGAAAATACTTAAGAAAAAGAGGTAAAATATTTGATTTTAAAAGTCTATTTTTTTTTTTTGGAAAGGCTGAGCATGGTGGCTCATGCCTAAAACTCTATCAGTTGAGAGGTTGAGGCAGAAGACTGCTGAAGGTTTGAGGGTAGCTTGAACTTCCCTTTGAGGGTAGCTTTATAGCAAGACCTTGTCTCCAACAACATCTATTATTTTATCTTTTCCCCCATTATTTACAGAATACTTTATTAGTTTCTGTCACCAAACCCACATAGATAAAACCATACCTATTTAATGCAGTGTGTTATCCTTACACAAATGGAAAAAAAGTAAGTTTAACATTTCTAAACCAATACGGCTGTTGGCTTCTGTACAATGCCAACTCAACACAGTAAAATAAGAAACCCTTTGTTTTTTCAAAGTTGACAGCATAGCTAAAGTTTCCAAAAATTCACTGTGTGTGTGTGTGTGTGTGTGTGTGTGTGTGTGTGTGTGTGTGTATAAGGACCAACCATAATAGTGAGATGTGTATCAACAGTTGATGTAGCTACAGGGAATCTTTTCACCCCTTTGAAGATCATGGTGACACCGTATACTCAAAGTTTGGACTTTAAACTATTCAAAATTCTTCCTAGTGAACCCCATCAACAGCAGATGACTAAGAATTCCTAAACTCACTTAGTATGTTGGGAATAGAAACTAAAAACATATTTGAAAGAAAAAAAATGAAAAGTCATGTTGATAAATTATATTAAGAAAATTTCTAGTTTTAGAATTGTGTAAAGTGTTTTCAATTTAAAAAAAGGAATTCTCAAGCAAAAGGTTTTTCCCAGTGTGGCATGAAGTGTGACATGAACTAGAATGAGATGTTTTGTTTCGGATCATATGAGAGGCTCTGGAAACCTGAGGCATGAGCTGTAACATATTAAATAAGTAGCTAATGAAAATCTGAAAGTTTGACAGTCAAATTCCATTTTCATATAAATAAAGAATTCCCACTGGTAATTTCAGTCCCTTGAGTAAATACATTCTGATAAGAGCTAAAGGGAAAAAAATTACATTTAAAAAATGATACAGCATGTGGCTTCTATTCCCAGACATACTACTGTTTCATAGACAATTGTCCCAAGTGTGAAGTCTGTGTATAATCTCCGACTGAAATAATTCAAGCAATACTGATGCCAGTAGCATGAACACCCCAAAGGTGTCTAACATAATATGTGGTTATGTGTGACACAGATATATGTGTGTCCCAGTGCAATGGAAATTAATTACTATTGGAGGAACTCTTAGACCACCATTATCCTGAAAAAAAAAAAAAAAGAAAAAAAGAAAAAAAAACTGACTCAGCTGATGATGGTCACTGAAGATTTTTGTAACTACTCAAGATTTCTAGACAGTGGTTCTGTGCAAATTATTCATTGAGTGCATAGTTGTATAATGCATTCCTCATGTTAGGATATTTTTAGACTATAAGAAATCAATCTTGTGGTAGCAGCGGCTACAGTGCTGACCCAGGGCCTCCAGAATGCAAGTCAAGCATTCTACTACAGAGCTATCCTTAAAACCCACAAAAGCAAATCTGAAGACATTCTGTAAGATACCTAAGAGCCCCAGTCCCAAGAACAGTACAATGTACCTTGTTGACAAGGCGCACAGGGATCCTGCAGCAACAACATATTTGGCAGGACCCCATCCGACGTATTCAAATGCTACAGGAAGTGGGCTTTTCTCATCCAGAAGGTAATAAGGCATCATAAGCGTTAAAGCTGCAGAAACCCCAAAATAGGCCATAAAGCAAACCAGTAGGGAAGTCACTATTCCAATGGGGATAGCTTTTTGGGGGTTCCGGACCTCTTCACCTAAGGAAACACAAACAGAAAGGTGTGCATGGTTAGTAAACAGCTAAACAGCTTAGGAACGTCCTGTCGATCAAATTCCCCTCGTTGGTGGTCATTTACCTTCTGCATTCTTAGTGGTTTCTATCTATTTCCCATAAAATTTCCCTTCTCTCCTTCAAGATACTTTGTGAGTAATAAAAAAATGATCCAACTATCAGAGGGAGAAGAGAAGAATGGAATACGCAAGTCAATTTCAAACCTTCAAAAAGGTGTGGTGGGGAGATCCATGAGCACTCTTAAGAGTTTAGATCTAGAAAGGCAGTGATGCCATTTGGAAAACAACTGCACTGGTATTCCATAAGCTTTTGAACAGAAGGCTTCAAACAAACTTATTTTGTCTATTTATATGAAACTTTAGTTTCTATAGAAAAATCAAAATATTCTTCTCCCAAGATTAACATTTGAAGCTCCCCAGACACAGTAAGTTAAAGGCTGTTCAACGGGGAACCCTGAAAGATACTGGGGTGAGTGTTTTGTCACTTGGCATAAAGAGAAAAGATTTGGTATAGTATTTTGCCTGGTGAATGAAAAGACAATTTGAGACAATGACCATCTGCAGCGGACAGAACTTTTAGTTAAAAGCCCAAGTCAGAGAATAAGACAATTTAAAACAGTAATCATCTGGAGGGGCAGAACTTTTCGTTAAAAGGTTAAGAATAGAATTGTGAGCATCATTTAAGATTCCTCATCTGATCAGCCAGAAGTGTGGTCTTAGGTTGTCGTCATAACATCTTCAGGGCAGATGCTGCTCTTGACAGGACCACTGCTCTGAGAGTTTCGCCAAGTGGCTTTCCTATCAGATGCAGTGTGGGCTGCAAGTGGATCTGGAGTTTGTACCCTTCCCACCCCACCCTACATCTCACCCCCTCTCCTGGACCCTCTGCTGTACCCATGGCTGCCCCTGTGGTACCCTTGCACTGCCCTTACCAGTTGTTGCAATGCAGTCAAAGCCCACAAAGGCATAAAAGCAAGTTGCAGCACCAGCCAAAGTTCCTGTGAATCCATAGGGCATAAAGCCACCAGCCCCATAGATGCTTGTTCCGTTTTCAGAAGGCGGTTCTCTGAGGAAAAGAAAAGACCAGTCAGCTGCTTCATGGAAACTATACCTTCTGGAGATTTCTCTCAAACCACATCCCTGGAAGACTGTTGTTGCTCACTGGCTCTTTGGAGCTAATGTATATAAACCCGCAACTTTATTCTGTCAACTTGTACTGGAGAACATGGTTAACTCCCTCACAATGCTCCTCTATATCACTGATATCCAACTTAGGCTATTCAATAGCAAACACAGAAGGCCAGACCAAATTTCGAAGTGTGTGTGTGTGTGTTGTGTGTGTGTGTGTGTGTGAGGGAGAGAGAGAGAGAGAGAGAGAGAGAGAGAGAGAGAGAGAGAGAGAGAGAGAGAGAGAGAGAGAGACAGAGAGTCCACATTAGCCTGGAACCTGCAATGTAGCCCAGGCTAGACTTAAACTTGTGTCAGTCCTCTTGCCTCAGCCTCCTGAGACGTGTGCTAGATGAGCATACAGGCAAGCAGATTTCGACATCTGAGATCCTGCATGTGAGCGATGCTCTACAATAAAGGCAAGAAACTTTCTCTTTATCCCCTTCCCTCCAAGAATCAATTCTCAGCTCATGAGAAAAAAGAAAGGCAGACTGTACATCTTTAAAATTCATTTAGTGGATGGTGAGCTGACTCAGTAATGTAGATTGGTAACAATATAAAAGCACTTGTCTACAAGCCTGGCAACCAGTTTGATTCCCAGAACCAGAACAATATCTTGGAAGAAGGCAATCAACTCTTGCAAAGTATCTTCCAACATCTATGCATTTATCTCAGTCACACACACACACACACACACACACATACACACACACACACACACACACATACACACATGCACGCACGCACGTACGCATGCATGAACATGCGCAGAGACAGACACACATACACACTGAACAAATAAAATAAAAAATAGAAAAAAGTCCATAAAATTTACTTAGGATATAGTTGAAAAGGGAGAACAGAAGAATCCCATAGGCTTGATTAATCATAATGAACATGTAATGTTTTAGTATATATCAAAAACTTTAAGATTAGAACACACTGTCTTTCCCTTATCACGATGATTGTAAATGACATATATAAATAAAAAACACCTTACAACATGTAATAGATACTTCTGTAAACTTTTTTCCACTTATGAAACTAATAATACTAAGTATAAAAACAGCCCCCAAATGAGTAGCATTAATGAGAAGTGTGGCCTTGTTAGAGTGGGTTTAGCCTTGTTGGAGAAAGTGTGTCACTGTGGGGGTGAGCCTTGAGGTTTCATATATGCTCAAGCCACTCCCATTTTCTCAGACCACTTCCTGTTGCCTTTGGGGCTAAGATATAGCTCCTTCCCCAGCATGATGGCCACCTGCATGCCACCATATCTCACCATAATAATAATAATGGGCTAAACTAAACCTCTTCATCTGGAAGCCACTTCATTAATGTTTCACTTTATAAGAGGTGCTGTGTTCATGGTGTCTCCTTGCAGTAGTAGAAACCCAAACTAGGACAGGCTCCAATGTTTTTTTCCCCCAAGTGTTTCTCAGTGTAGCTCTAGCTTCTCTGAGACATACTCTATACCCCAGGATGGTCTCCAACTCAGAGATCCACCTGCCTCTAGCTCCCAAATACTGGGATTAAAGGCATAAGCCACCGTACCCATCTTTCAAAATTCTTAAAAGCCTGAAGGCATGCAATGAAACTGATGGCCCCCAAAGGAGAAACCACAGGGTGCATGAATCAAAACTATTCCTAGTTCTTTAGAGGTTGTGACGTGTTGGGGAGTAGAGGGTGAGCTCTAGTAGGGGTTAGACATTGCCCTAGAGGATTCATTGGGAGCAAGAAGCTGCAGAATGCAGTGCCTCAGTGGGTTGCACACCCCTCCCTTGGTATGGGGAACCTAGGAAGAGAAGCCACATCCTAGAGCCATCCTCCAGAAAGGTCTCAGCAGCAACAAGACAGAACTGTTGCTCTACAGAGAACTTGCAAGTAATGTTCTCTTAAAATGTAACACAGAGAGAGCGGAGGAAAGAGGAGCGAAAGGGAAGGAGGCGGGAGTGGGAGAGGGACTAAATAGTTTACCTGGCATCTGCTGATATATTTTTGAGAAACTCTTCACTGATCTTCCAATTAGCCACATTTCCTTTCACAAAGCCGGCCACCATTACAAAGAGGAGGACCAGGATATTAATAGCTGTGAAGAATTTATTCACCCAAGCAGACTCTTTCACTCCAAAAGATAACAGACCTATGGAAAAAGAGAAGGCATTAATGTGGGCACTTCAACCATAGGAAAGGCAATGCTATCCTGATGCCAACAGATGCATTGGAGATTATTGTACTGGTATTCATACCTCTAACTTCTGTTTCTTCAATTCTATGGCTGGTTCCCTTAATTACTTTGGGGTGAGACAATGACTTTGGAGACACCACTGATTTTGCTTTCTGAAAGCAGGCTATGCTCACACTCAAGAGTTCCACACTGTGCAAGTATAGTAACTCTGGTTATTACTACCATGGTAGGCACAGGCACAACACCTCATTTGAAAGGCTGTCCTTAAAAGATATTCCAGGGATAATGTACAAGTCTGTCATGCACCTTCTGATTGTATCAGCAAAAAATAATTCTCCTAAGGGCCATGCCAAAAAAGTTCTCTGTTAAATCTGTTCTCACCTGATAGATTTACTTTATATTAGGAATGTAAATACCCTATTCAGGTAGTTTGAAAAAACAGAACAGTATAAAGAATAAAGGTAAACTATGGTGCCCCCACAAAATTCTACACATGCACACACATATATTCCTGCACCAACAAATTTATCATTAGTTTTAGCAGCTGCGTAATATACTATGCAGAGATACTTTAATCCCTTATTTATAGACAATTAGGTCATTCTTGGTTTTATTTTATAAACAGCACTGACATCACTGTCATCTTATAAATACCCCTCTGCATTTTCTAATATTTTTCTTATAATAGTCTACAAACTAAGAGTGCATGGGAGGGCAGGCATTGTGTGTGTGTGTGTGTGTGTGTGTGTGTGTGTGTGTGTGTTATGTACATGTGTTTGTGTGAGTGTATGCATGTGTGCATGAGAATACATATGGAGATCAGAGGTTGCTGTGGATGTAGTCCTTGATTACATGTTCATTTTTGAGATAGTCTGTCTCCCACTGTATCCATGCTCCTTGGCAGACTAGGCTAGTTGTCCAATAGGCTCTGGGGATTCAGGGACTCACCTGCCTTAGTTGCTCCCATTCCCAGTGCTGGGGTTACAGATGCATAGTGCCATTCCCAGCTTCTAGACGAGTTCTGGACATCCAGACTCACATTTTCATGCTTGTATGGCAGCAACTTTACCCACTAAGTCATCTTCCCAACCCCAGGGCATGCATTTTTATACAAAACAAGATTTGGCCCCATTTGCAATACAGACGTTTTAAGTCAGAGTATTTTATTTATGCTGATTTATAAGAGGTATTTATATATTAATGTTATTAGCTTTTTGCCAGTCATTTATGGTACATCTTCATCATTTTAAAAATTACTTCATTTGGTTCATTTTAGTGGTAAATTTAGAGCCCATGACCTTGTGTGTATTAGGCAGATGCTCACAATGAACTTCACTCCCAGCCCAATATCTTACTTTTAACCTTAACACATTGCTTATAAATGTAATTAATTTGTTAGAATAACCCACAGGTACCTATTTTAGTATCTACTGTTAATAAAATTTTCCCCAAAACTTCAACCCTCAAATATTCACGTGTTCCCTTTCAGTTTTTTAAAATTTATTTTATAAGCATTAATTGTGCCTGTCTGTCTGTGTGAGGGTGTCAGGTGCCCTGGAGCAGGAGTTACAGACAGCAATGAGCTGCCGTGAGGGTGCTGGGAATTGAGCCCAGGTCCTCCAGAAGAGCGGCAAGTGCTCTTAACCACTGAGCCATCTCTCCAGCCCCATCCTTTCAGTTTTTAAATGCTTATTATGCTTATCCTATCTGCATCTCTAACCCACCTGACATATTATGTGAAGTATGGATCTTAGTTCAACTTTTACTGCTGGGGCAATGGTTGCTATGAAAACACGGTGCCACAGATCTGCTAGCCACTGCCCTGTATCCACAGCACCTGCTATCACAGAAGCAGAACTGTGCAAGCATAGATGAGAATGGTTGCATTGCATTCTCCTGCATGCAGTTTCCACTCTGACATAACCACAGTTACATTAATGGCATAAAGGAATTTTGTGGGGTTGGCACAACTATGAACTCTGCAATTGGCTATTGGGATAGATGCCTCTGTTGTACACATCAAGAAGAACAAAGCCACAGCCACATTTTATATTGGGTTCCAAACATGCCAATACATGTTCTGCTTTAGTTTTTAAACCTGCCACCAATAGATTAGATACCAATAAATACCTCATCTGAACACTACACATGCCTCCCTGGTAGCTTTACTAAAACAAGTTCCAGCAGACGTATGGCATATACAATTGGAGCAAATACTTATAATGGGAGATTTTAATTTTTAATCAGTCTAGGAACTAAGTTCAAGTGTAAGTTTAAACTACATTTAAAGAGAAGACTGAAGGTCAATGAACATGAAAAATACTCAGGCTAAAGCCAAAGTCTCATTGTTATAGAAGTTAACAGTTCTGAGTATGTGTCATAGCTATAGGCTTCTCATCATTAAAAGACTAAAGCTGAGTGTTTATTGAAGCCATTTCTAAATAAAACATGATAATATTAACTAGGCTGTTTGAGACTAAACTGAATCAATGCAGTTCATTCAACGTCCTTTAATGAAAAATAATGTGTGCATTTCTTTTGTCAAAGCTTGTGAAATTAAACTTATTTGTATGGGTGGGGGAGAGGTGGAGTAAGCTCAAGTGTAGAAGTAAAATGACAACCTTTGGGAGTTGGTTTTCTCCTTCCACTGTGGATCTAGGGACTGAACCTGGATCTTCAGGCTTAACAGAAGAAACCGTTACCCACTTATCCATGTTACTGACCCTTAACCCATGTCACATGCCTCTCAACCCTTGAAGCAAGGTACACAATATTTTGGACCTATGGAATTTGTTCATGCCTGTGCCTCTTTTTTCTTTCTTTCTTTCTTTTTCTTTCTTTCTTTCTTTTTTTTTTTTTTTTTTACAATTTTCTTAATTAATGACAGATTTTTTTTTAAAATGTAAAGCTGTTTTTTGAACCATGCACTTGTCCTAATAGACAAATTATTTCTGTCACATTCATCAAGCCTAAGGAGAAAATAGAGATAAGGCTGGACAGGAAAGCAAGGAGCCAATTATTCAGGGTAAATCAAGGAAGAAGCTGAAACAAATAGGTTGGCTTAAGAGGATCTGTAGATAAGAAGGGCAGTCATAATAGAAAATGTCCAAATAGTCAATGTAAGGGTCAGTGGGGATTAACTATGCTTACAAAATAAGACTGGCTGCCATCTGGGTGCATACTGCACTCTAAGCAAGGAACCAGGTAAGGCAGTCTGTGGTACTCAACATTTCATGCATGAACATACTGAAGAAGGAAAAGATGAAGACGACTTTCAAATTCTGCATGTAGTGAGTAGCAGAGGAAGATGGAAAGCCTAGATGCCCCTACTGTCGTTCTTGAGTCTGTTTAAGACTCTATTGTACCACACTGGTAAAAGGTGGAAAGTACTATAGCCAAGTATGTCTCTCTATAGGATAACTGCAGTAAAAGAATGCCCAGTGAGCAGATTGCTTCCTTTTCAAACACGTGTCTGCAGTAGATACATGACCGAAAACACTACTATTTTTTTTCTAGAAATGGTATGTTTACTAACGGCCTTGGTTGCATTTAACATGATGAACCAGTACCATGAATTCTACATGTTTTTCTTGTAGAAATGCCCTTTCCATTCTTGAACATCTCTTATTAGTACTAAAAAGTGATGCTCTCCAAACAAAAACTTACATCTCCATCCTATGACTTACTGTACCCCAGGTGCCTTCTCTTCCAAAGCCAGGGTTCTTGCTTTCATTCACATTTAATCCTATTGTGAAACAGGGAGATGAAGCCCACAGTGACCCCCCCCCCCCGACCCTATGGGCCTTGATATGATATGCTGACCTCATTCAGAGAACACTGGCTTCAAATCAGTGTAACCTACTTTTCTGGGGCCCATTGGGAAAAACATATGATTGGTTTTCTTACCTGCCAGAAGTAATATAAGGCACACGGCAAAAAAGTCTGGGTACTCCGCCAGGCCAGTGTAATTCATTTTGAAATATGTCTTGAAAAACTGACCAATCTGTTTGTTAAGAAGTTCATCGAAGGTCCCACTCCATGCTCTTGCGACACTGGATGTACCTTACCAAAGCAGAATGTTCAGAGAATAAACGGTTACTGGTAGAAAATTAACAGAACTCATTTGCCTAGTTGATTCCTGGATAAACCCAGCTTAGTTCACTCTGACTGAGAATTTTAACCACATTAGAAAGCCAAATGTGCATGTAATGTATATATGTATGTGTATGTACATATATAAAACTATATATACAAATTACTATGTATATAGTAGTGTATGTATGCATGATAAGAACATTTTTTTTTGAGGCAGGGTCTTGCTATGCAGCCTGGGTACACCTAATACAGGTGTGTAAATGCTCTTACCAGGCAACTTTATTTGCAAGAAAAAACTAGAGGCTAGGGAGATAGCCAAGCAGTTAAAACACTTGCTGCACAAGCAAGATATCAATTCAGATCCTTTAGGAACTACCACTCTGGAGCACAGCCTGTAAGTCTAGTCTCAGAAGGCAGGCAGTGCCCCAGGACAAGCCGGGCAAGGCTAGCTGGAATGTAACCATTGGTCTCAACAGAGAGCTCCTGCCCCTGCAAACAAAGCAAAAAGAGCAACTGAGGAAGATTCCTGACATGTTCTCTGCTCTCCCCTTGCACTGGAAGACAGAAGCATGTGCACCAGCATACATTTGAACACACATACACACACACTCGTGAAAAGGAAAAAAAAAAAGTATTTTGAAAACTTCAAACTACTTTCTAACTCATTAAGTATCATGAATTCAAAGGGGAGGCAAAATCAGTCTTCAGCCATGAGGGCGTATTTTAGAGGTGACAAAAACAAGACAGGGAACAAGTGATTATTTCAGAAGCACCCACAGCTGAGAAGCAGGTTTAACCCTAGTGCCCAAGCTCTCTGGAGAGCTATTTTTACCCTGTGTGCCCTGGTATTTGTTTTTGAAATATACCTATGACATATGACAGGATGAGATTCCAGCCAGTGATGAAGGCCCACAGTTCTCCAACTGTTACGTAAGTGTACAGATAAGCAGATCCAGTCTTGGGAACTCGGGCCCCAAATTCAGCATAGCAAAGGCCTGCCATCACCGAGGCCAGGGCGGCGATGAGGAAGGACACCACGATACTGGGGCCAGAATCTGCTTTGGCGACTTCCCCAGCCAAGACATAAACCCCAGCGCCAAGAGTGCTTCCAACCCCCAGGGCGATGAGGTCCATGGTGGTTAAGCAGCGGCAGAGTTTGGAATCTTCTAGACTGTCCAGTGTGACGATTTTTCTCCGGATCAAACATCTTGCAAAAGTCAGCACCGCTCTGCAGGGAATCATGGTGAAGAGAGCAACCTAGGAGAGAAAAGAGAAGAGGGGTTACAAGAAGGGGTCTGTAGCCATCTCCCCTCTCTAGTTCTCTGAACGAAGTACCTGCTAGGTAAAGGGGGGTGGGAGGGTTCAGAGCAATCAGGAGGGTTGGAGATGAGAAAGCTGCACATTTCTGGGGTTCACTCACACATACCAAATTAAAGGGACTCCATCAAGTGGCTTGGGGGATGAGTGGGAGAAAAAGGTGACATAAAAGATTCTCTATTTGGCCCAATTGTAATTTTGTAGATACACTGAAAGGAATCCATTATTTCTTAGATGGCCAATTTACCCTTCACTAGAAGGCAAGATTTAGATTCTTCCCTTAAAACCATTTTCTTCTTGAATCCTTCATCCAATTGAAGGTCTCTGAGTCTTCCCAAATGCCAGGATTGCACTAGGAATATATGCGGAACGGTTACACATGTGTGGACTCTCAATTAAAGACCTACAGTCTAGCTATGCCTAACAGTAGGTAAAGGATAGTGGTTATACACTCTCAAGCGTTACTGAATGTGTCAGAGCCACCCCACTTTCCTCTTATGCAGGGAACAAGGAGCAGATGTAAACTCACTAGAAGAAAAATCTGCTCCCCACAGTTCTTTTGTAAGAATAGATTGTTCTTAGGAAAACTGCTGTCCAGCCATGCTTCAAGTATGGGTTGGTTCAAAACTATATATATATATGTGTTTGTTGACACACACACACACACACACACACACACACACACATACACAGAGAGAGAGAGAGAGAGAGAGAGAGAGAGAGAGAGAGAGAAAGGTCTGAACCAAAATATTAACCAAATTATATTTTGATGATGAGTTAATTTTTTACTTCTTTGTATTTCATACAATACATATTATTATTCTCTACCTCTAGGTTAATTCCAAGGAATATGTATAACCTATGTGCAAAAGAAATTTTACAATTTTAAAAGTCTATCTGGCTTTGTCTACAGGAACATGGAATTCAGCAGACTGAAGGTAACTGAGGAAGAAAGGTAGAGTATGCTGTGTGTCTTCAATGCAACTGTAGACATTAAGTCATGTCTGATTGTACTTCATGCACTGAACACAGGCACAATGATCCGCTGCTGTAGGGTGCTGGTCCCTTCAACCTCGTCATAGTAACCATCAATAACATAAACTTTTGAGGCATCTGCATGGGGTACTTGCCCTATGCCCTTGGCCTTAGGATATATGGGTTCTAATATCCCGTGGAATCAGGGATTCTGATGATAGCAGAAATAGGTATGTATCTTTTTTGAACAAATGATTGATTATTTCGTTAATTGCTAAAGCAGTAGCTTTGTTTGAAGAAGAAAAATGCACATGAGCTGAGATTGAAGAAAATTAGACAAAGGGGGCCTGGAGGGATTAGCACTATGTGCATGTCTATATGATTTTATTGAGGCTAATGATACATACAGATCTTCCCCAGCCCATCCCAACCTGAAGAATGACAGTTTCTAAGTATCAATACTTCTTGAGCAACCTAGAGATGTAACTTCTAAAACTTCTTCAATCCAAGTCATCAGTTTGACAGCAGGGAATTCTGGGTCTAGTAAATCATCATCCCTGATGATTTAACACCAGGGATTAGATATCCCCTCTGGGCCCTCATATGGATTATTTGAGATCTGCTAGTTACAGAAAAATGTGCATCCTGGACTGTGGCTTTATTTCCATATTTGATGCAAAAGTCACAGAAAAGATACTTCCACTCCTGCTCCGTGTCAAGGCTGATGTGTCCAAATTAGTCTCTGCATCATGATCATGTGACCTCATAAAAATACCACAGGGGGAATGAAGGAGGCGCGCCAGTGGGGCAGTGGTCCCAAGGGCCTGCAACCAATTAGCTTGTCCCAGTTAGAACCCAGGTTTTCCTCCTTTCTCATGCCTCTGCCCGTTCTGTAGTGAGGCACATGCACTGTGCATTTCTGGACTGGTGGAGAGAAATGTGGCTACAATGTATAATACAGGCATGGTGCCTACCCCTCCTTTTGCCTTCAGATTAGATAGTCTGATGTTGTAATCTCCAAATCAACATCAACTGTGTTCCTACAGTTTTAAAATCCCAATAAAAAATTTTAAATTATATTATAGGTCAAATAAGTCATCAAAAGGGGAAAATGATATGACATGGATTGCTGATGGTAATTCTTTTTACTTATCTTTGAGAGATAAATTTCTCAAAGCCAAGTATTATTTGGTCAGAAATGGCAACTGTGGCACCTGGGCTAGCCAACAACAAAAACAAGCTTTTGCACTGAAACCGAACACCATTGTCTTTCTGAAAACCACTTTTCTGCAAATATTTCCTCTAACAGCTTACCCTACCTTTTCTCCATAGCGAATTTTTGGAACAATTTCTTCCTCTAAGGTATTCCCCAGATAGGCGAATGGCAAAGTTGGGATAAGTAAAAATAAAAGGCACTAAAGAGGTCATTACAAATGTACAAGAACAGTAGTAATTCCTTTTAAAAGTTGCTTCTTCCTTTTTAAAGTATTGAATCAATGTGGCAGACATGTACTATTTCAAAACTTCCCATGGGCAAGCATTTCTCCTAAGGTTATACAACAAGTAAACAGCTGGTGCAGGGTTTTGGAACGTTTCTACAGACAACGGGTGGTTTGGAACACGTGGGTACACTCACCTCAGGGACAGTGAAAACACAGCGGAGCATTTCATAGGAATAGATGGAACATGATTTACTTATTTTTTCTGAAGTGTGTAACTTTGTTCCCAGGGGAAGAGTAGAGAGAATGAAGCAAAAAGAGACAAGAGACGTAATGGAAGCAAAGCTTTGGTTGGGCTCTGAGGTAACCAGAGTAGCTACCCAGTCAGCACTCTGCGCTGGCTTGGTAGCAGTATGAGCACCAAGCAGGCGCCTGTTCTCTTCAGCGATGGCTGGCCAATAAATCACCCTGAATGCCACAGGGCACCACCTGTTTCCTTTCCCTGCTGGTGCCAGTCACTCTGTTCACCACTGCAAACATCAGGAGATGCTCTTCCCCAAATTAGTTCATACCCACCACTAATTCGCAAGTGCTACTGTCAAAATGCCAATGATCTCCGGGGTTTTCATGTTCCCGGTATGCCCTGACAGCTTTTATTTTATTGTCCCATCCCATAACTTTTTCAGTGTTTCTCTAAGACCAACCTATTTCATTGTTGAGATGAACAAACTAAGGTATTGTATAGTCCGCCAACATCACGGTCCATCTAGGACGGAAATAAGGTGAAACCCATTGCATGGGCCTGCCAAGCAATGGCTCTCCCTTAGGGAGTCAAATGACCCTTTCATGGGGGTCACATGTCATATCTGCATCTCAGATACTTACAATATAATTCATAGCAGTAACAAAATTACAGTTATGAAGTAGCAACACGAGGAATAATATCAAAGGAAGTACTAGGAAAGATTGAGAACCACTGCTCTGGAACCACTCGCCAAACACAAACTGTTAACGGGTGGGTGTAAAGGGTAGGCCTAATGGGGGTTAAACTTTCTGGATACCTTAGTGGGGGAAAAATACTGCAACTGGAAGCCTGAGGTTGGAAGGAAAAGGAATTAGCAGGAAGGGAAGCATAGTATTGCAAAAGGTGAACAAAAAATTTAGATGTGAATGAAAGCCGAGCAGGGGCTGGCCGGCACTGCCAGACCATCATTGATAGCTTCTGGTTTTAATGACCAGGCATAGCTCAGCACAGCTTACATGCGCAGGGAGTTAACTGAAACAAAGCAGATGAAACCCAGTCTAATGCTGCAAGTTCAGCAGGGGTGGAGGGAATAGAGAAGCTGTCTGCTCCCCCCACCACCCCAGCCATGTCTCCCTGGTGGGAGAGCACATTCAGTCACTGCTACCCTGTGGGAATGCAACCTAAATACTATTGGTTATGAGTGCTGCAGCCACTGTGTTCTGTAGAGTTTGGGGGACATAGGAGTATGCCCTGCCTACCTATCTGTCTCTGGCCCAGCTACCTGTGGCTTAGGGGAGGGTGACAATGCCCTAGTGATGAAGGAGCAAGTGAAGTGGCAAGCAAATGATGACGGCTTCAGCAAAGTCGTCATGCTGCACAAACTAAACAAAGCCAATGCAAATCAAAATAGCAAAATAAAGCAAAACAAAGGGGGGGGTACATTTAGTCTTGCTTCTTAGAGAAACTTTAAAAAATGAATGTGACTGTTAAAAAACAATTCATATTCTCTTAATTTTGCCTTTAATGCCCTGTCAATTCCAGGATGCCATGAAACTCCAGATGATCTGAAAGAACCTGTGGACTCAACACCTATTGAAGCAGCCAGTGCATGGGAAACAAAACTTCTTTGCTTATTTCTGGGTTAGTCACCAACTTTTAAATTCCAGATGCTATAAGAAGTATGAGCCTGGACTAGGATGGGGGTTTGTTGTATGAAGGCTGAGAACTGATAAATGTTGTAGGCCACTCTGATCTCTACTCACTCTCTTTCCAGAGACAAAACACTCCCTTTTCAATCCACCATCCTGAGTTGCCCCAAAGTTACTTAATTTAGCGGGCTGTTCAGATTCAACCACTTTTGTTTTGGTGCTAGGCAAAAATTCCTTCCATCAATCTGTGGTGGGAAAGGAATTTTACAAGAATTCACACCCATTTTTTAGCTCAAAAAAAAAAAAATGTAGCTGGATATCTAGTTTCGTGGTTTTGCTATAAAGTTGTTTCTTGGGGTGGGTAGGTTACTCTTGACACTACATTTTCAATTTTGAACAGAATGCTCTGATTTGGCACTTCTTAAATGCTGGGAACAATGTATGAGCAGAGACTGCTATTGCTGGCATCTTGGGAAGATTCTTGAAACACTGCTATTGATTAAGGGGACTTTGTAAGTTCACTTGGCTTTGGTTAATTCAGAATAAAACACTCCTATTGTATGATCAGAGGAAGCAAGGAAAGCCATGCCAACTCATCCCCATGGTGCAGTTATATTTAGAATATGCAA